TTTATGTACGGTTTATATACATTTCTCATACGTATGTCTGATTTCCATCTAAACGCAGCTAGATACTGAGCGGAACTTTATAGTAAACTAGGAACATTTGGTTTCTCTTTATTAATATCAATCAACTCTAATGAGTTGAAGAACACTAATATGCCAAATTTTAAAATTGTTATGTTTTTATAATTTTGGCATTCTTGACTCTGAATTCTATGTTAATCCACGATTCACTCTTTTTTATGGCAGGAATTATTAATATTTCCCTTTATTGGAAGATATTATGACAGATAGATATATGGACAAGATTATTTTGAAATAAGTTCTGTAAGATTATTATATTTTAAAGACAGTTCAGTTCAGTTTGACGATGAAAATGACATCCGGTCATTACCAATGCTTAACAAGTATTGTTCCACATTCATCATTAACTAGTCTTATCTTAATCTTAAATAATGATGACCAAATAATTACATTTTTCATATTACAATATGTAGTTTAAAAATATTAAAATAAAATATAAGCTATGAACGAAGTACTTAGATAACTTTTTGGAGTCCCTTTTAGTTGGGTGGTCAACCAGGTACTTCATAGTAATAGTCTCTAAACGTGCATATAAAATTTCATTTTAATTACGTTTTTCTAACGAGTTACGAATTTTAATTTTCTTGTTTTGTCATTTCTTTTCCATTTGCTTCCTTAATGTTGCTGAGCAGTGCAGTGTACTATTTTATCTTTTTCACTATGGCCTAAACGTAAAGTTTCATTTTAATTATTTTTATCTAATAAGTTGTAATTTTTAATTTCGCTGTTTCGTAATGTCTTCGCTTCATAACTTTTCGCAAAAGATCTATGAATCCGAAGTGTTTACCGCTTCTGGTTGCTGTATCGTTAGGGCTCGGGTTCGATCCCGGAAAAAGAATTGGTTGTTTGTAAGTGTATATTGTCTGTAAAATATGGGAGCTCCTAAAATACGAAATAGTCGAAAATCATCTCGAGAGTTAGGAAACGAGGGATGTGAGACTCTTGTATTTGCCTTCAGAGCGTTGTCTATTAAAACTAAGACGAAACTTCCCTTTTCCTGCAAGTATAAAATCGGTCTTTCCCTGTGATGAACCTTGTACAACGTTATCGGTGATGAGACCACGAGCCATTCCCGAAGATTGCAAATTAAGTTGCAAGTTTCCGGCTATTTGAAATCAGCAACACTTTTGGAGAGAATTTAAATTTAACCATCGTCACTTGCAGTATAATGGGCAACAAGATCTACAGACCAGATTTGATTAAGGGCTATTCGAATGACCATTTATTGTAGGTACTATAGTATACTCTATAAATGAAACTCTGCCTGCAGGATATTATTATTGCTAAAGAGTTAGTGCAATAAAATTCCTTAAATAATCGCATTTTCAGCTAGATAGCATCATAAATAACACAATTTTTATACTGAGCCTTTTTTTAATATGTGTAAAAATCTTGCATTCGTGTAGCTAGCTTATTTTCTTTTATCGTACCATTGTGTACTAATATGAACCTGATGAACTAATGTTTGTCTTTTACTCCATATATTATATATAAGTATTATGCAGAAGAAAATGTAAGTCATGTATAAGGAAACACGATACGTACGTCCATACAACATAGTTTTACGTGTGTTACGTGCGAAGCGGCTCGTAATTGATTGAACGCACACAGAGCAGACGACAGCTTAATAACATTTATTTTATCAAAAGAAACAGTTTATTGTTCTGGAACTTTCCACCAAAGCCATTCGTACAACTCTTCTCAGTATCATAGAGCACGATCACTAATTATACTTCAAACTACTGACCCCGTTAAACACAACCCAAAGTGCATTTAAAGGCCAAGCCGTCACGGATATCTCAATACCCCGAAGTCAGCTCTGAACTAACAATTGAAAACTAAACTCTTGTACAGTTTTCCCTCGGTTGCCAAGAAATCTCTACTGCCTTCCATTTCTAGAAATTACTAGAAGCATATAGGGTTAAAGTTAAATATGTGGGGCGGATAAGGTTACAGTTACATATGGAGCCTGTTACAGTTATTCAGTTACAATATCAGTTACAGTTATACAGAGAATTGGACCAAAATGTTGCCAAATGGTCGCTAAATTTGGAGACTTTGCGGAATTTCTCGCCAAGTTTAGCGACAAATATTAGTTGCCCAAACCATCGCCAACCTGGCGATATCTCGCCAATGTAGCGAAATAGCCTCAATGTTAAATATCCTCAAGTAATCTTACTTTCCTGCTGAGCTTCGTTTCTTTCAAGCATTTCATGTTACCAAATGCAAAAAGTATTACAATTTCACTAAAATTGTTTACATATACAAACAAAATTTGTAACAATTTTAATTAATACCTCATATGGGAATTAGCCCTAAAAGTTAAATTATTTTACAAAATGTAATTTAAATAATTTGATACAATCTATCTTCGAAATGTAAAATAATAGAACGGACGGGAGCATTCCTTCCCTTACGTCTTTGTTTCGCCTCGATTTTTCGCATCTCCTAAATGTTTAATTTGTTTCGTTTAATTTGAAGATGTGAGATACTACTAAAAATATGTGTTAAATATATAAAATTTAGGTGCTGCCGATAAAAATTGTGGAAATTTAATTTGATATAATGGGCCACAGTATTATAAAGCTGCTTATAATTTGTGAAATGCCTCATAAAATAAGTAGGAAAATAAATAAACATTTAAAGCTAGCTAAAACATTTTCTGCCAAATCTAGCTTTAAGTGTTGTATAAAAGTAAATCCTTACTCATTGTTTTAAGGAATACTTTCATAATATTTACTTCAAGTGCCGACATTTCGTGTCCAATTATGGTAATTATTTTTTTATTTCTTTAAACATGAAAGAGCCTTGTACTCGATGCACGCAGGCGCTTTTCTCTCTTCTAAAGGGTTACAAACCTACTTCTTTCACCCCCTATTTTCGCTCAGTACGTCCGTAAAAATACTGAATAGCAATGTCTTTGTTTTGTAAATGTTGAAAATCGTTTCCGTCTGTTAATCATTTCACTATTAAAGTAATTTATGACCACAATAGAAAATTGCACTGTTATTTAAAGGTAATCCTAATTTTTTTCAAGGCAAATTCATGAAAAAAAAAATTAAAAGTATCTTTAACAATAGGAAAAGAATTTTGAGAAATGGAAAATATATCTTTCAAACAACGAAGAAGACCATATTTGACTAAATATTAACTGCAGAGTTCTCAAAAATTTTGAAATAATATTTCAAGTTTTGAAAAAGTAAAGCGTTTGGTGTAAATGATAATAAATCACTTGGATTTTTCTCTTCCCGATGCTGCATATGGAACTTAAGAGTTTTATTGACAGTTGGTGTTACATATCAGCAAGGTATAATAACACTGAAAGCGATACCACGTCCTACGTTAATGGGCGTAGTATCTTTCGTTTTAAATACTATATTTGAAGAACTGAATTTTCTGTATATAAATAAATTATTTTCAACATTATTGTGATTGTGATTTCTAGCATTGTTGCGGATCAGCGCAACAATCTCCGAAAAGGTGAAACTCCTTCAAAAAAATTACTGCTACTTGCAATGCAAGCGGCATTGCGTTATAATCAGCTATTGGATATTTTTAAATTTTTGAAAATTTACAGATTTTAGAGCATAATACATAATAATTCTGAAAGAAATTGACGGAATAATTCGTTTCGTATAATCTCGAAATCTTTGTTACGTTACATTTCGTCAATGGGAATGCTTGGTATTACCCTTCTTATTGGAGTTTAGTTTAATTTTCCGAAATCAAAATTATCATAAAGACAAAAGCTAAGCTAAGTTTTCTTCAAATGAAACGCAAGTAATTTCTTCCTTTTATGGTAGTTTTTTTCATAACTTAAAATTTCTAGATAATTATGCGAGGTTTATTAAAAATTAATTTGAAATTTATTTCTCTCGCCTTGGCTCGTCATGATACTCAATCGGATCTGAAGATTGTGCAAACTGAATTGCAAACGGCATAGTTTAAAATGGAAGTTTAAAAGTAATTGTGAGACCAATGAAGCTCGCATTGTCCTGCTTCCCGTGAGAGTCGCCTAAAGTAACCTAAGAAGGGCTACCGAAAGGTTTGGCTTCTCTCGGTAAGATGTTAAAGAAAGTTAACCGAGTCCAAGCTTATGTTAAGCCTGCACTCGGAATATCCAAACTTAACGTAGTTTATATCCAAATTTATGTATGTTCCGAGTTCAAACTTATGTAGTTAATACAACTAAACCAGACATTTTGCATAAAGACAAGCAGGTTGTTACAAGCACGTATTATTACAAGCAAGTACAAGTTATTTTATTTGTAACCGAGTTTGTAAATTTGTACGAGAAACACTCGATTAGAGTTTGTTATAATTTTAGCATTGTTACACCAAATAGGATTGGCAGGTAAAATTCAGTTTACTCTTTTACATTTGAATTGCATTTTGTTCTACTAGTTATACAATATCGAAAGCTGGGACTCACAGATCTTAGATTAATTTTGTGGGTAGCTGTAAGGTTTTAATATTTAAATCAGGTTTTGTCACAGAAGTTATAACACTTCGTAAAAGTCATTTGCATATAGATACGATGACAGTAAAATGAGGAGATCTTTTCATTTTTACTTCCTTGTACGAAGTAAAAAGGAAGTATTGTAATTGCGAAAAGTTTCAGGCAGCATATTTCAACGAAAATATCCATTTTGACCGTTCGAATGCAATTTAACGAAGTTTTTTGGGTGATATCTGTACGTAAGGACAGAATAAAAGACTCGTTTCCTCCAAAAAATTATAAATGCATTTATTCTATTGTGGATTATGCGCTGTCGGCGAAGTAGATTTAATTCAATCCAATAAGTTTAAATGAAATGCAAGAAAAAATGCGTATAATTTAATATTCCGTACAAGGAAGCCATGTTGTGTACACATCAGATTTTTTAACAATAAATAAATATAAAATGTTTAAAAGTAGTTATGCTTGAAAAGTCATATATTTTTATTTGGCAAATGCTACTAGGACTGTCAAATATTACTGGGCAGAGTTGCGAAACTCGGGTTTACTTACCACAGTTTGGCCAGCTTAATACAGGGTATTTACAGATTCTATGAAAAAAAAAGAATGATTTATTTGAATGTAATTTACAGGAAAAAAAGTTAAAGTACATATTGTTGTACGATAGAGAAATAGTCCAAGTTTACCTTTATCACAAATGTTCGATGTGACTTCCGTTCGTTACTCTACAAATGTCCCATCGATAAATCATTTCTTGCCACAGCCCATTTAGTTTATAGATACCCTGCATATATAGTTACTTATTTATTTGGAATGTTGTAAATATATATATATAAAATAGAGATTTAAAACAAAAAATAAGAAAATATGCAAACGACTGGCATCATCCAAAAGTTAATCGAACACATATATTCGCTATAAGTGTCTGTTTCTATTAGCTTTCTGTGTGAAAGCATTACGTTTTTTGCTTCACTTTTCCTTCCAAAGTTAATTTTGAAAGAATTCTGTACGTTAAATTTTGAAGTTATTAATATTTCACAGTTTTTTAGTCACTACGTATTTGATTGCCCACAAATATCAGAATACCACCTTGAACAACCCGTTCCCGCAAACTGATTAACGTGGGACAATAACACTAGCAGTAATCTGCCCACAATTATAAGAGTCAGTCTTATATACTGTATTACTGCCTACTCAAAGTTTCCCTTACCAGGAGTGTATAAGAGCCAGTTTCCCTTGGAAAGTCCTCCACGAAAGGCATCCCTCCCCTTAGGCAGATAGCCCTCATGTGCTTTGCCATAATTAAATACACCAACACCCTTACCAGGAAGGAGTACAATGGCACATTCTTCCTCTATATTCAACGCTGTTACACACGTATTCAGCTTTGCTTATAATTCTGTATTGATACATACATCTTTAATTTGATTATTTGCTTATCAAGTGCCCATCTTTTTAGATGATATGCTCTCCTACATAAGCTGTGTATTATCTTCAGTTTAACCTTGTTCATATAACGCTGTTAAAATTTGTCTTCCTTTCATTGCTGAAAGTGATGCGAGCGCTCAAGTCTTCAGTAAATCAAAGTAAGCAGCTCTCAAGCTATATGTGAAGTACAAGAATTTACGCAGTTTAAAATGAAATCAGGAATTTATAACACTTCACACATTTTTTTCAAGATTATTGCTTATTATGCTGTACGTTTGAATAAAATTAGCACTGCTGTTACTTTCTTGTACGTTGGATTAAAACCTAGCAACCACTGGTCTAAAGAAGTTCGACTGATCTGACGTACGTCATTATTACTAGACTGATCGCGATTTTAAGCTGTTAGAAAAGATATGCTTTTTCTTCTGGTCAGCATTGACAGATTGATTTTTTATATAGCGGAGTTGATGTTAAAGAAAAATAACACCTATTTTTAAATCATGAAGTCCATTTCAGGTAATGATGAAATGATGAAACGGCTCTATTCTTATATGCGCCCTAAGATTACCAAATGTGGCGATATGTGTTCTGCGCTGGTTTTTGGCGTGATTGCGTGTTGTATGGCAACTCTTTTGACGTTGAAAACTCTTTTGCTGGAGTGATTTAATTGCTCGATGGTTCGTGTCGTGCGTGTTTTGAAATGGCCTATGTTGCAATGAGAAACGTGGTTTCAAGAGGGTCTGGGAGATTATTTTTAGTGGCTGTGCATGATAGGAGTAATGAAACGGTGATGTAGTGTATTAAACAGTGGATTGAGCCTTGTACAACTATTTTTTCGGATGGCTGGAAATCTTACGAGGATTTAGGAAAAGAAGGTTTTGAACATTTATTTGTGAACCATAGTATGAATTTTGCGGATACAGAGTCTGCCTGTCATATAAATACCATAGAGAGTACGTGGCGGCATGTTAAAGCTACTTTCTGCGGTCCGAAGAAACATCCATTATTCTAAGTGCATTTTATTTTATTGTTTTTATTTTGTAGAATGTTATGTTCATTTTTTTTACTATGAATTTATGCTGGCATTGTTGTTTTTTGAATTATTTATAATTTATTTTAATTTATTTTGTTGATTTGTGCGCAATGCCTAGATTGTGCAATTCGTAGATGTTTTTTAAGTTTAAACAGAATGTTGCGTACATGGTATTCTTTAAAATTTATTGTTGTTATGTTAATTTATTATCACGAGGTGTGCGCAGTTCGTAGATTAATTCGCTGTCTATGTTGTACAATTTGTAGATGTTTTTTCAAGTTAAAACATATCGCTGTGTATATGGATTCTTGTCAAATATTTTTGGTTTTTTCTATCTAAATTTTTTGTTTTTAGCTTAAATTGTGTGTTCAAAACGTGATTACTGCATGTGCGAAAACCACGTTTTTGGAGACATTTTAGGCTCAAAGTTTGAAATATAGAAAAAAAAATAGATAGTAATATGGCACCGTAGAGTTTCTCGCCAAAAGACCTGAGGGCGCATATAAGAGTAGTTCCGACGAAATTTCCGTAAAATAATTAAATTTTTTTATTAATTTTCTTTTATAACAACTGTGAGACCTAATCGAGAGAAAATATTTTCTTTTATTATTCCGTCATGGATTAAGATTATTGTTTAGTTGGAAAGAAGAAATGGAGCTTGAAACATGAAAACAAAAGAAAAAAGATTTACAAGAGAAATATCATTTTTCGTAATTTAAATATTAATATATGTTCACATATTATCAAATATTTAACATTATCGCTCATTCTGTGGAAGCATTTACATGCTACCGACTTCTGTCAACAAATCAGATCACGTAGCTACTGTACGCAATTGCAAAATTTGCGAATATGCGAATATGTCCGAAATCACAGAAAGAAAAATATAAATACGTCACACAAAATTACTTATTGTATGACATAACTTTTATCAGCCAGTGTTACCAGATTATAAAATTGTGACCCTGACAGGCATTTGACCTTTAGGGTACTTTTGATAATTATAAAAATAGGGAAAATGATAATAAAAACATCCCAACTACTCTTTAATGTTTGCCCAAAGAGAACTTTAATGATGATAAGGGAAAAACAATATAACAATTGGGAGAAGCAAGCTTATCCTTCTATCTGCAGCCGTCAGTTCAATTAAATTTGTTATCATTAGGATTAAAACCTGGAGAAATTAACACAATCTACCTCCAAATTCTTTTTTTTTTTTTTTGGACATAAGTCCTGCAGGCTTGCATTGTATTAGATATCGGTGAGAGGTTAAGGGAAATGACATTTACACCTATTCTTTTCAAAGCATAGCCTTCAAATCGACAAGCATGAATGGTTTTCTAAAGTGGTTTGACGTCTGCACAAAACTAAAATTATGGTTTTTATCTGTGGCAGTTTCCTATTTACAATTATATCATGTAAGTAACCCATTATTTAATACAGTGTACAAAACAACAGAAATCATCCAGTAATTTACTCAGCTTAATTGGGTGTAATTCTGCTTAATAATTGCTTAAGATGGTGTGCTTCGGTGCGCGTTTGTTATTATGCTTTAAGAAATCTCTTAGTACTCAAAGATCACGTAAAACTCTGGAGAAAATTTGAAGAGTGAAATCATTTTTAGCGATGGAACCACTATGGATGTTACTTATGTGTCTTATATTTCTTGGACCGGTGTTATTCATTTTTCTTCTTACAGGAATTCATCTTTCGCTCTGCAAATCTAAAACAGCCAAAAGTTATGAGAATCTTCCAGCCTATGGTAGAGATAAACCTCTTTTACTCATATGGCAACATTATCAACAAATAAGTAGAATAGTAAAGGACGGTCCATTAGCAGCGTGTAAGTTAAGAATAACAAAAATTTATTACAGTTATTAATTTTAGTTGACAATTTTCAAAATGTATTTACTGCTTTTAGTAACAAATTTAAAAATTTATTAATATGTTCGACATATTAAACCTTTTCCAAAGTTCATTTGCAATAATTTGATATTAATTATTTGTCACATTATATAATTTAGTCATTTCAATGATTTATTTTGTCGTCCTGCAAGTAAGTGAAAATCTATTGTTCAAATTCGTTTTTATTTTCTTTTATAATGTAACCATGAAAGAATGTTTACTTGTATATATGTTCGGAAGTTACACTTTCTAGTAACCCTGTTATATTATAAGAAAATTTTCGATTGTCTGTTCATGAATATGTTGTATCAGAAGCTTATTGTTGAGTTGATGTTACCAAATTCGTTCTTAATTAATTTCAACAAAATAAGAAAAATCGAAAGAGTGATTTATTTGTCATGCTTGTTATTCTGTTTATTCTTGGTTGCCGAATTTCGTCAATTTTTAAGGTTGTTATGGTGTAGAAATAATTTAAAAACAAATTAGGAATTTTGCACATGTATTTTTGTAAGACAAGTGCGACTATAATAAAAATTTCACGATACCTTCAGATTATGAGAAATTGATACTTTGGTTTCTAATTTCTGCAATCTTTACAACTGAAATGCCTACCGTCAACTATAGTTAATGTTAATCAACACATTAAAACTGTGTATTAACCTGAATGTATATCAAAGAAATGTAATTGTTTCATATTCTGCTGTACCACTGGATTTTAAATGGAATCACATTTTTAATACAACTTGTGTGATAAATAATCAAAGCGTTTCAATACGATTCTAATTTTTGGATTTTTCAAAGTCCATGAAAAAGTTATCTTTAAATTAAATTAATAATTATTTGAACTGAAAAGCATTCTTTTCGAGTAGTAATTGTTGAATAATATGGAATATAAATCCATTAGATCTGAACTGCTTTTAATAACCTAATTATATCATTGTTTAATTAATTTGTTTATTAAACTAATTGGATTGACTCTCTAGTTAAAGTTTTGCAAGGTACACAGTATATTATTCTTTCAAATTCTGTTCAAAGGATGTACAATGGCAGGGGTAGTCAAGACCGCTGAAGAAGGGTAATTCGAATCTACGAATAACTGACTACATGCTTATTATCATGAGTTCTTTAATAAGTAATGTAGAAAGGAATTTTGCCTTCAGAAACTCCTTTACCTGTAAAATAGAAGTCACATTTTATTTTTGCTTCAGGTGAAGAAATTATTAGAGATTTGCCTAGGTCATTTTCCACTTGAGGCAAAAATAAAAAATGTGCTCCTCTTTATAATGTAATACTAAATTACATATCGCAGTTATTTATTTAATACGCATTATTGAATCAAATTAACTTTTTAATGGCGGTCATTAGCCATTTTTAGGCTTTCGCCACTATTAAAGCCAAAAATGGTGATCATTTTATATGGAGGCACCTAAAAGGCCGCCAACATTACCTCCTATGAGGGCACAGACAATTTACATCCATACCTTCTCGCATGTACACTGCCCCCCCCCAAAAATAAAGGGGACAGTTCTATATCTCCGGTTCTACTGGGCCGATTGACAAATTCAAATTGCGTTTTTCATGTCTCGAAAGCGCGACTTAGGATAAATATTATATTATTATACAGCATCATTCTAACATAAGTATTTTGACAAAAAATCGGACTTTTTCTGAAATGACATGTCATATTATGCCAGATTGCCAAGTTTTGTAAAAATCGCACTAGTAGTTTTAAAAAAATAGCTCTCAAAATTTTAGCTTCTCAATGTTAATCAAGTACTTATTAATGTTTCATTTTTTTTATTAAACTTTTTTATTCTTCCCTTCACATTTTCAAATTTAGATTCATTACAAATAAAATTCGCCCATTTTTCATGATTTATTTTTAAAATTTGTATTTTTAAATAATTTTTCATAAATTTTTCGAAAAACATTTTGAATTATAACCTATACAATTTTTAACATCCTCTTAAAGTAGGTGTATTTCTAAGCATACCTGAAAAAAAAATTAGACTTTTTTATTCAAAATTTTCTAAGATATATACGAATTTACATATTTGCGCGGTTTGAAATTTGGCATATTTTTTTGAGCGATAATAACGCCAAATGTGGTTTATGGATTTTGTTACAATGAAATGCCACAGCTATTTTTAACCTTAAATTTAAAAAATTGTACTTTAAGTTGCTTGTCAGAAGCTACCCATTTTGATCAGTTATTTTGTTACTGTATTTTATTTTGTTGGTTTTATGTGTTATTAATTTCTAAAGTTCATTTTACGTTGCTTTACAATAAAAATATGTGGTTTGGCTCATTATGAGTAAATAATTAATTTAAATAGAATTTCATGAATAATTAAAAGAAAATTTTTGGTTTTAAATTAACTATAACAGATTTTACAAAAGACTCTCAAGACTATTATTTTAAAAAATACATAACGTTATTCAAGCAAAAGATTTTCAAGAGCTATGAATTTTTTCGATTATTTGTTGAAGACCTAGAATTCCAAACGTAAGAAAATTTTTATAATATTTTCAATGAAAAAATAAACTTTCAAAATTGAACTGAAAATTTCAATAGAACTGTAAAATTTGCATTCTATCGTCAGAGTGTTATATTCGAAATTTAGATCCAAATTTTATGATTTTATTTCTTAAAATTTTGTTAAGGCATTCATGTTTCTTTCTAAAAAGGCTTTTCTATTGCAATGCTCTTTCCTCTTTAAATGAGGGAGCTGTAAAAGTCTAAGTTTAACATGAGCAATAGCTTTATCTTGACAAATGTCAAGGCCTCATCAAATTTTAATTATTTTGCATATTGGTTTGCTAGGAAATAGTGAAGGTGGGCTAAGGTAAAAACGGGAGATAATACTTAACCTTCTGGGCGTATAGTTGGCTTCTGGTTTAACCTTCTGGCATAAAATCTTCACTAAAGCTACTAAAGTTACCATTAATGATATACACGTATGTTTGCATGAAGTAGACAAAATTTCTATGGTAAATGAGTTCTATTCTCATTGTAAATGAACTTTTTCGCAAAGTGACATTTAAGTGGAATAATATTCTATAGTTCTTCAGTCTCGGTTGACTCGTTGAGGATCACATTTGTAAATATGACTCTAATATAAAATTCATACCAATAAATACATTAAGTAATATGAATTTAGCAATAATAATAATAATATGGGGCCTTCTCGAATATTGAATTAAATATTAGGTCCCGTGTGGCAAGATTATAAGAAATTTGTTGTTAATCATTTTGAAGTGAGATGGCTAATGTTAACGAAAGAATGAAAACTTTGGCTTCTGCTGATGGAGCGGAGAGTGCGTAGTTGACCGAGTCTCTTCCACAAATAAATGAAATAAAATGATAAAACTATAATTAGTTAGCTTAATTAGACACTGTCCACATTTGAGAAAAGGTAGGATCATCAATTACATACACTGATGTTTCAAACTCAGTCCTCTAGCAGTACCTTATTAAGAGCAGTAGCTTCATAGAAAAATGATATAGATCAGGAGATGAAGGGCAACAAACAAAGATTTTTTTACAAACTTCTTTTTGGCATCAGTACACGATAGAAAGTAGCTTTACTGTATCTTTTAGTGTAATAAACTTCGCAATTCAATAATTCCACTCTTTTACAGAATATCAGTGCAGACTAGAACTGAAGCTTTAAGCCTAAAGAGCTAAAAATTGTAAATCTTACGGGAAAAAGTTTGCATTAAATTACTTTTAAGAAATATAACTAGCACTGCTATATAAAGTAATGTACACATAGGTAGTTCCAAAGGTAATGAAGATGGTTCGTTGTTTTCTTGAACAACCCGTATTTGCAATTTATCCATTTCGAAACAAACACATGCGTCTGAATACAGTAAATCCGGCACTGTTGCCACTCTTCATAGCAATGGAAGAAAACCTCTACTATCTTGTTAGTTACTGATGGTGACGTTTCACGCACGTTTCAAAGTAGGCAATAAATAGAATTGCAGTTAGATGTGAAAGTGTTGCAATACATTTTGAGCTAGAAATTTTCTCACAAGCATTGACATATACTTAGCATTTTTCTGTGGTGAAGGAATCAAGTTTTTACTTTACGACAGTCGCTCACAAATTTTTTCGAACACTGGGTTACCTGTAGAAACCTATACAAGCCATTACGTTCTCATTTCTTGAAAATGAAGAATATCCTGCCCGCTGTTCACCTTCAACCTTCTTCCTTTCATTTCTGAACACCTCAGTATGTCACCTATGTCACCTATGTCACCACCTATGTCAAAAATTAAAATAGCGCTCTTTTAAGTTTTCTTAAATAACTGCAATGTACTATAATCCGAATTTCCGGGTTTATGACCCGGACTTGACAATAGTCAAGTCTCCCATATATCATATCCGTCTCTGCAAATAAAACATAAAAACTGCTAAAAATATTTCTTGCTTACATACAGAATAAAGAATGCAGCTGAAGAAGGTTAAAATTGTGTATTTAAGCTCAATTTATTATCTATTTTTCTTTAAAAAACACATTTTTAAATAGAATTATTTAAAGCGCAACAAAATCTATTTAAATAATAGAATTCCATAACATGCTTTAAAATGAAAAACGTTTCTTGAAAACATTTCAATGTGAACTTAAATTTACAATTATTAGTTAAAAAAGTCAAATCTTTGCTATTTAAAAAAATATAAAACATGATGTTGTTGATCCAAATACCCAGATCTGCAAAATATGTATAAAAAAGGCATTTTTTTTTCAGATTTCTTTAACATTAGCTCAGCTTTTGCATCCATGTTCCAACATGAAGGACTCTTCTTTATGTGGATTGGATTCCAACCGTATGTCTTCATTTATAAACCAGAGCATATCAAGGTAAGTTTCTCCCACCCCTGAACATTTATATATTGCTTATAACTCTGCAATGTAGCCCAATGTATCTGAATTCTAAATGTCTGATTATTAAATATATAATATAATTAAATTATTCTTAATGTAATTTAATACGTTTAAAAGACATACAATAAATTTAAGCTTTTCGATAGAATTCTAATCTACAGAATGACAAAGGTAAAGAAGACTAATATTTTCAGATATTTTAGGATTCGATAGTGATATAAATTTTGTGTATCATTCACATTGACCATTCGTTTCTATTCGAAGTCCATTTACGTTACAAATATGCAAAAGCATGAAAAATACAACAAAATTTCAAGCAATTTAACGAAACAGACTTTTTGAAAATAATTCATCCCTTGATACAAAGTAATAGTAACTAACAGTAAGATTTCATCTCTTCGTCAGGAGATGGAAATTAAAGCTTTATATGTATAAATAAATACAAAGACCAAGTCTCTTTTAATAACTACAGTCGACAGTTACCGTAAGAGATAACTGTAAGAATATATATGTGTCTTGCATTTTAATCCAGTCCCTTAAAATCTTTATAGATTATCATTATTTTGCTGTAAGAATCAGAATTACAACCATTTAAGTTTTGTGTTTACGATTGCATTAATCTTACACAGATAAATCTAAATTCCTACCTAATGCTACTCCAGATATCACTGATTTTTTAAAAAGACCTCTGATTAAATCCTTGAGTGATTTAAAATTCAGTTTTCTTAAAGTATGCAAATCCATTTGCGTGTTAGCAGAGTTTTACATTCCTTATATTTACATCTCCATCCCGTTTTTATAGTTGGCTGTGAAGTTTAAAAGAATTTCGTTACGGTTAATTTCTGCTTCTATTAGGCACTTATATACTTATTTGAAACTTATCTCTCTGCTTTTCTAACCACTTTGTATCAAACTCAGTAACGACTAAAGTATTTCTCTTTCTATTTTTCTGTTGAGATACATGCAGATTTATGGATTTTTGTTAATTGCTTGATATTTTAGTACAGAATAGTAAACATATTTCTTTTATTTGTAGGCTAAATATGAGTGAATAAGTAAACAAATTTTACTATTAATTAACTAGAAAGAACAATCTATGCTTGAAATTTCTTCTTTCTCTATAAAACACACAAACAATATATATATATGGTAAAAAATAGTCAAAATTGTGTAAATTAAAATACTGCTTATAATTGATCGATTGAAACTACGCTATTTATGTATTAATCCATGCCATATGATTCCTGCATAACGTTAATGACGCAGATACTTACGTAACGTTTCAGCTAACAATGACTTCAAATTTGGGAACCGAAACTTAAAATTAGCCAACCAAAATAAAGCTAAAGTAAAGTTAAATCATTCTGAATAGGATGTTCCTCTTAGATTTCACTGATTTCAAGTTAAAATTTACAGAAATTCTAGAATTTGAAATTTTGAACTTAGTGAAATTTAATTTCATACGACTTTTAAATTCTATTGGTTAACTTTATACAACTGTGAAAAAAATATTCGCTCTCATTTTCGCATAACACTAATTGAATTTCTTTTTACATGATTAGACATCTATTAGGATAAAAAGCTAGCTAATTAATCTTCTATTTTTTAAGTTTCTCGTCTGTTTTTCATAGGCAGTCCTAACCAGCAGATTAGCTGATGATAAATCTCAAGATTATGATCATTTGCGGCACATCGTTGGAACTGGTTTAGCTACGAGGTATGTTCAGCTTCAATCGTATTTCATTTTATTACATAATACATTTTAATTGTGATTCTTTCTAATTTGGTTGATAATAGTATTTGCAGTAACATTTTTAGAGATAAAAAAGAATTAAAAAATTAAAATCTATAGAATTATAATTAATTGCAAAAAGCAGAATCAAAAATAATTTCACTAAACAGAATAAAATATAATTGCTTATATTCGAATCCAGATCGCTGATATTTGAAACAAAATAAAATCACTAATTAAAACAGCTAAGAAAATAATGTTCAAAAATGTTTCATCGATGAACAATTCAACAAACTGAACATAAGGTACACATAAAAGAATAAAGAATTGTAAATGAAGGAATTTATTTAAAGCTTAGCAAAGACATATATATCGGACGAATAATGCTTTGTAAATATGTAATATTGTAGAGCTTCATTAATACTTTTACTAAGCAATGGGCTAATTTAAGTAACGAAGTCTTTCTGTAACTCTATAAAATAAGGACTGTTAACTTTAAACTGAGATGCTCTATTTCTTATCCATTTCTTATGAGATATTATATTTACTAAACCTCTCATAAAAATAAAAAAAATGTTATTTTTATTACAAGGTTTATTAAATGTGTATAAAAACTAATATTTCATTAATCGAAACTAATGACATTTTTTAACAATATTTAAAAGTTTGTTAAAGTTATTTATTTATATAAAATTTTAGAGCTTTAAGAAAGATTTCAAATTATTTCTACAAAATCCCTAGATGTTTATTGGAGATTTAATTACAATTAAATTAATTAATCAATTTAATTTTATATAACTGGAGTGTCAGCATTCGAACTTACAACCCGCTATATTATTTTCTACTCGTGTCCAACTATAAGTCCAACTATAACAGACTACTATAAGTCTACAATTTCGCATGAGCCAGTAAATCAGTTTATTACAAATCAATTCGTTTCCTTTTGCAGCATGTGGTTTTCCCCATGTGTAACGTGTATACGAGCCAGTTTCCCTTAGAAAGTCCTCCACGAAGGCATCCCTCCCTTTAGGCAGATAGCCCTAGTGCGCTTTGCCATAATTAAATACACACACACACCTTTTGCAGCATGTAGTTCAATAGCAACTTTTTTTTAAATTCTCAATCTGAGCCACATTGACACATTGAGGGCACAAAAGCACTTCTACTATATACACGTTATATTGCAATAATTAGTCCATGCAGCTAGAAACTGTAAGGTCTCGCGTTCTTGCCTGCCAAAGGTCCCGGCTTTCTAGATTTCCTGTCAACCTTTCAGTTTTTTTAAGATTTTCTTCCTGAGATCGTGATAAATGTGTGATATCAGAAATGATATACAGTGGAATATAACATGCCCCCACTTTAATTTGATCTAGTTCCTCCTCTTATGAGCTTTTTAAAAAGATAGAATTTAAGTAATTAAAGTATCTTTACGGTAACTCTAACATGTATCATTACGGTTTTGTGGTCATTGCATCTAATTAACAACTGGAAGACCTTAGGTTCCATACCTGGCGAGAACAAAAACACTTTTTCAAGATCACTTTGAAACTTTACTTTGGTTTCACTTTGAAAACATGATCATGTTATGCGTTTTGCTTAGTGTTTCTAAGTTGAATTTTCTTCACTTTGAAAACATGATCATTTTATACGTTTTGCTTAGTGTTTCTAAGTTGCATTTTCTTAAATTTACTTTCAACATCTAATAAGATTTGATATAAAAAAAAAACTTTTTGCTTACCTTTCCTTGAAGAAATCTAAAACACAGTTGAATTCTTTGCCATTTTATGATACGGAACGTTTCATTCACAGCTATTTACAATTCATTTGCTTAAAGAACTTCATCAGATTTTCTATCGTTGCCATTTCATCTCAATCAAAAATTCGCAAAGTGGTAAGAAAAATAATAAACATAAAATAAGAAAGCTGCGCTCTCTTCGTGGGGAGCAAGATGAAACTGTGGCATTCTTCCAATCCATGAACTCTCGGTTCATCAATGGAACTAATTCTCTAGGAAGTATTCTCATTAGCAATTTGCATAACAAATACCTATAAGAATTTGAAGAAACGGTAACGGAATCAGTGCTTCTAATTTCAATTTCTAAACTCTCATATACATTACGTAATCTTTTGATATCATGCATTTTTTAATGGCTTTAAATTCAGCAGATGATTCATATGTGCATTTATTAAAATTTCTGTTTATACCAAAACTTTTATTCAGAATATTTATCGCCTTTTAGTAATTTTCGATCCTTTATTGGCATTAAAGTTGTGTCCGTTAGTAAAGATCTGAAGTAAATAATTTTGTCTACCACATATTTTAAAGAATATTTATTATGTACAGCATATTTGTAAATTAGATCGCATCTCATTTAAAATATTCTATTTATCTTTGATTTACACAGTGTAATCTTATTTTTATATTCCAAGCTATCCTGTATTTCTATTTCATACTCTTTTTCGTTTGCTATGGGAGATTCAATTTCAGTGTTTAATATTAATATATCATTTTAGATGGATAAATATTCTTCTAATAAATCAAAATACTATCCATCTATTTCCCTTTCCAGTTTAACGATCAGTCTTATAACTGATGCTCTTAACATTCCTGGCTTTATTTTTATTGCTTTTACTTATCCAACTTAATAATCAATATTCAATCATTCATTAATCGAACAATAATGAATATTTAAATCATAGTTTATCTAGAAATCACTGGTTATTTCTGGGTTTGGCACCATTTTGTTTATTGTTTTTAAATTGTATTTTTCTTAATCTTACCATCAGCATTTAACGGTATTTGATAAGAAAACCTTTTTGTTTACTTTTCCTTGAAGAAATTCATAAGGCACATAGAATTCTTTGCCATTTTATCACACAGAACACTTTATTTACAGCTATTTGCAAATCATTTGTTTTCAGAAGAACATTCATCAGATTTTCTGTTATTGCCACTACATCTCAATCAAAATATGCGCCAATCGATAAGATATATAATACACATAAAATAAAAAAAAGCTTGCGCCCTCGTGTGGTCAGCAACATGAAACTGTAACAAGAGATAAAAGAAAATGAATGGCGAACAACTCGCAAGTGAGCAATTTGGTTAAATTAAGTTGCTTAATCATGGCAAAGTGAATAAGGACTACTTTTCAAAGGGGAGGCATGCCTTCGTGAAGAGCTTGCCAGAGAAAACTGGCTGGAATTTACGTCACACATGAGAAAAACCATCAAAATCAGCTAAGCAGCCAATCCATTCGTTTGAGATCGAATTCCAGTCAAATTCTCAGTATTTCGCTAAATACTTAACGATTCATACTGGATGTCATTCACCTTTGGGTACTTGTTGGGTTAGGAAGAGCTTGTATATTCATTACTTGGACTATGGTAATATTTATTAGTATTTGCGTATTATTGGTAGTATTTGCGTATTAACGCAAAAACCTTAGCAAAAATTACCAGATTTTTAGAATGTGTCAAACTCTTGCCACTATGCGCATAACCATTCTTTCTGGAGCCATACTTAGAACAATCCTTCAGTCAAGCTGTGTTGCAATATTCGTATGCATCCTTTTTTATTGTGTTCCAAGTGCCAATGGTTTTTATGAACAAATCGTGATATGATATTTTTTGCCTTAAACTTAGTTTTAAAATATTGATCTTGTGGAATTTGCTGGTGATGGAAGAAACTGTGGTAACGTTTCTGCAGATATACAGAATTTTGCTGAAATTTTTCTAACGGGAACAATGGAAGTCAGTTTCCTAGATAGAAGGGATTACATGAAATCGAGTCTTAGCAACTTTCTCATGTTTTTTTAAGGGAAAAGAGATTGCTGTGTACTTCGGATAGGATAAAAAAAAATAACAGAAAGTTTTGAAGAAGAATGTAAGTGTTTTATTTTTTATTGTGTTATGTCATCCTTATTAAATAATTCAAATTTTGATGTTAAATTGCTACAGCATGTTTCCTTTCAATGTTAATAATACTGTATACCGACTTAAAATAAAAATCGATAGCTTGGGAATCTTTCTAAAACGAAAGGTGCGAAAACCACCAGTTTGCACCCGATGAATGAGTTTTACCTTTTATTCTGTAAAACATCACCAAATTGTGCCAAGGTGGTTGCGTTAAGACGTAAGTACTGGACTCAGTATTGATATCACATGTAGAGATTTCTTCATTCAGGTGAAAATTTCAAAAGAAATTTTCAAAATTAATATTCCGAACAACTGAAGAGACTCCATAATATGTTATATTCGTCAATTCACCTAATTTATATTATCCTTTTTCAGTTTTAGTAAAATGAATGCACAACGAAGAAAATTGCTGCAACCAGCCTTTCACTCAAGAATTTTGGAGAATTTCATCCCTACATTTAATGAGCATTCATTAGTTCTCGTTAGCAAGTTAAAAACTACAGTGAATAAACCATGGATTGATATAACGCCTATGATGACTGCTTGTGCATTGGACATTTTATGCCGTGAGTATATTTTTACACTTATAAACTTTCTTGATGAAACGTTTTGGAATTTAAATAAATAACCTTACACTCACTCTAGGAAATCGTACATACAAAGCTGAAACTTGTTGCTCAGAACACATGGAAATTCTCCTCAATTGCTACTTTAATAACAATACGAGAATATAGTAGTTTTAGTAATTTTGTATAGTGTACCTGAAGCAAGCGAAACTCTGCCTGAAAAACAGGATTACAGGGGCACATCTATTTAACATTGAAGTAAATGACTATTTGCTAAATTGGCGTGATTTCGCCAAAGTGGCGATGTTTTCGGCGACTACTTTTGCTGCCACATTCGACGACAACTTGTCAGAAATCGTTCCAAACGTGCCGGCAACATTTTGGTCCAGTTCCTGCGTAACGACATTTGGTACTGTAAATGAATAAATGTAATTGATCCCTGTATCTAACTGCAACCGTATTCAGCCTTTAGATGTTATTTTAACCATGTATGCCTTCCTGTAATTTCCAAAAATGGAAGGCACTAGGGATTTATGGCGATCGAGAGCAAACTATATAAGACTGAAAACAACATTATTTTTTCAGTTTTTATTCGACTTCGGAGTATTCAGGTATTTCCGTGCGAGCTTCGCTTAGAGGCGCTTAGAATTGCATTAAGTTTAACATTCTTATATCATATTTACTGTACGAATACTTTTGTGGAAATTCTAGAACTGTAAAGTGTTTCTTTGGGTAAAATAAATTTTAGCAAGCTATCATCGGTTCTCGGGATACAATCAAGCATGATTAAAAAATCAAGCTATCAAGTATGTATCGGACTTCAATACATTTCTTCATTATTTTCTGTTGCTTTTATGCGAAAAGAGAACATTAGTACGAAAGAAGAAGAATTTTCACCCCCAAACATATTTAATCGTTTGGAATTATACTAAAATATGTACACAAATATATGTATGTGTAAAGAATCTCCGTAAATGTTCAAAACGGCCTTTATTTACACAAATCTTTGTTGTAAACTTGTACAACAAAAAACTTGTACAACTTGTGCGGGGGAAAAAATGGGACAGTTCTATATCTCCCGTTCTACTGGGCCGATTGACGAAATTCAACTTGCGTTTTTCATGTTTCGAGAGCGCATTCATTTGGTATAACGAGAGATATATAACTGTCACATTTTTTTTTTTCGCAATGTACTTCCAGTTCCAAAATTATGTTAAATAAAATTAAATACTTGTATTATGTTATCTTAAAATTAAAATATCAATTTTGCAAAAATTATACAAACTAAAATTTTATACTGCGCTCCGCTCTATATAATTATATTTAGTAAAAGATTTAATTCATTCACTTTTCAGTTTTATATAAGTATTTTATAAGTTTTTGAATGCTAGAAATGGCTTAATAATATTCATATGCAGCTTTATTATATTAAAATCATATTCTAAGAGCGGCCCACCAGCGACTGCGCGGTAAAATCGCTAAACGCTGAGAGTTCGATCCCAGATTCAAACAAGCAGGCTGCATGGGCATTTTCCACATGTATAATGCGTATCCAAAACACTTTCCCTTAGAAAGCCCTCTACGAAGTCATTCCTTTCCCTTCGAATGCTTTACCGTAATTAAATAAACCAAACCAAGCATATTCTGAGAGCCATACAACCTTTTTTGGTTGGCAAATACTTTTCACTTTCGATTTATGAAAATACTATTATACGAGTTTGCTATTCGTCAATATTGAAGCCTGTCATCGTTTTCTAGAACGCAATTCGTACAAGAATCTGTGAAAACAACAGCTACTTGATAGGAATTTCTACTGATCAAAGCTTTTCAAGACAGTTTTTTTAGCTTTCGGGAATTAAACACCATATAAGACTATATCGGAAGTTTGTATGAAATCTTAGTTTTCCTCATTTTTGAAAAATTGAGATTTTAAATTAAAAAATTTAACGACTATTTAACACGAATTAATTATAACACGAATATTTTCCTTATTGAAAAAGAATATTCTTCTTACTGCAACACGAATATTTTCCTTACTGAAAGCGAATATTTTCCTTCCTGTAAGCGAATATTTTCCTTACTGTAAGCGAATATTTTCCTTACTGTAAGCGAATATTTTCCTTACTGTAAGCGAATATTTTCCTACCTGTAACACGAATATGTTCCTTACTGAAAGCATTTTGAATTAGGAAGCATATGCAAGTCCAACAAACGGTTGCAAAAATAAAATGTGACGAACAGCGAATATCGTGCATTTTTATCACCACAACTAAGTATAATTTCTCCGTTAAGTACACTTAATATAGGAATTATGCAGTAAATACACAACCTAAATTAAGCACATATTATATAATTGGGAAGACTATGATCAAGCCAGACAGACTGAGAACCACTGCTTTAAGCCATTACTCATTTAAATAAAAGCAATGCACTGTTTAAATCATATTTGCACTTGGAAAGAAAATAAAAGTAAATTAAAGCACTTGAAAAATTTCAAAGGTAATCACAGGGATTATGATGAGCCTAATCTGAATCGCTTGGTGTGGTGGTGGTGTATTTAATTATGGCAAAGCACAGTAGGGCTATCTGCCTAAGGGGAGGGATGCCTTTCGTCTGAATCGCTTGGGTGTCACAAACATGATGCGACAACTAATTTTCATTAACAGCTTATAAGGTATTTCTCCCTCTTTCTTAGCGTGCCTTCGTGGTGTAGTGGTTCTGCCCGTTGGGCCGGTATTGCAGAGGTCCGTGGTTCGATTCCTGGCGAAGGCATTGGTAATTTTTCATCTCTCCGGCTTTTCCAAAAAAATCCTAATATCTCTACAAGCTAACTTTCAGTTAAAACTGTTTTTACTTCCCTTTTGATTCACCTCGCACCGATTAAACGTTTACACTGATATGAAAGACACGCAAAAAATTAACTATTAACAACTGTTAATTATAATTCCTCAGGCAGCATATTTCTGAAGTATACCTGCAATTTACAATCCATGCTGCCTTGGTTCTGCTTTTATAGCACGAAGAGCTGCTGTGCTATTAGTGATTATTGCGCTAATCTAGTTTAATGCGTTTAAAAAGGAAGCTGCACTGTATTTCTGTAAAGTCGCGTTGAGTCCGGCTGGCATGTTATGCAATACGTGAGCTTCTTCTTTTATTGATTAAGTAAGAATTAAAGCGAATTAATCAAGTCTTTTCTAACTTTCAATAGGGGAAACATTTATGTAAAAGAGCAAATAGCCTGGATGTTGCAAGTTATTATCTATTATCTAGGATCTTTTATTTAAAGGTTACTTTAGTTGTAACCCATCCCGAGTTATCAAATAAAAGTTTGTTAATTTTTAATAGCTTTTGTGTAAGTTGAGTGCAACTAGAGAAATAACTTGCTGACATTTGTGAAATATCTTAGACTGTTTGATGAATTTCCATCTAAAGAAGATTAAGTCGAGCTTTATAGAGTTACCCAAGGCTTCTATAACTGTGGCATTTTCTATGTACCTTATTCAGTATTAAGGCTTGACATTTCGACTATAGGTGATATGAAGGGTATGAAAGAAAGCGTTATTATTTGATTGCGCAACCTATAATTCATTTATTATCATACAGTTCTTCAAAGGCTTTCGAAATAGCTTCTCATAGGGACTAAACATACATGCTATCCTGGAATAAAAAAAAAGTTATGATAAAACTGCTTGAAATAAATGTCGAATGAAAGCAGGGATTAGGAAGCTAATTCCAATGTTCTTTTATGAGTCTCATAACAATAACATGGGGATATTTATTTCTCATATCTTCAGTATTTATAATAAAATAACATCACATGTGTTCAGATGAAGAATGCATATTCCGATATAACATCACATGAAAGACGAGGATTTCAGTCAAACATTATTCGTATTAATGTAAATATGATGATGATGATGATGTGCGATCATTAAGGGTGGAGTAAGTCTTCTATTGTCTTTCTGTGTATTAGTAATAAAAATAAATAATTCTTTACCCCAGTTTTATTGATTATATGCTGTAGATGATTTGAAATAATGGAAGATCAACCCGCGAGTAGGATTAAGCCTTTCTTTTATTCTTCTTGACTTTGCGTAAGCTATTTCTGTACCAATAATTTAACATAGTTCGTTGAAAACGATAGAACAATTAAATAAAAAAACACCGAGCGTGCTAAATTAGGAAACCAATTTTTCAAAAAAAAAAAAAAAATAGTGAAACAATTTCTGATAATATGTTTATTATCAGTAATTTTCCAAGAATATTTAAAGCTAATTTGTGGAGAAGAGAGAGGCCTAGGATCGTAAATCTTTGATGTACGTATGTACTGTCTTGTGCTAAACATGTTTGACATGACTTCAGATCGGTTTTGAGTTTTTCTCCCTGGAAGAATGCTGTTGTATTAAATTGCCTTTATTGAACCGAAAACTTTAAAAGTGAATAAATAAATTAACGAATCAATGAATGCCTTGAAATTCTTCTAGAAAATTAGAAGCTCGAAAAATTTCGTGATTAGTTTCTATCATCATTTTCTGTCAAATAATAAAGAAATCATGTCATGCCACGCGGGATTTTAGCTTTATACTGCATTAAAGCATGAAATCTTATCATCTGTTTGGTCTTTTTAAAAGATTTTCCCTGTTTTGTACGTCTGTTTCTTAGGTGATGAAGTGTATACTAATTTGCCTTAGTCTGGAGCTTTTTTAGCATGCGGAGTCTATTTGCATTTATTCATTCGTATTCCTCTCAAAATACAGATTAAATATCTATTCACTATTTATTGGTCAAAAACTTCCATTTAAAAATGAATCAATATTCTTTATACATTCACAGTTTGTAACGCTAAGATTCAGAACCTGTCAGTAGATACTGGTCGTCCAAGTCTCATTTTATTTTGTCGGCTAAGAAAATAATCATTCTCCTATTTAGATTACATTCGCTGACGATTTTTCTTGATGTAACGCGTAATAACAGAACAATACACTTTCAAGGAAAGCAGT